CCCCTCGGTAAAAAGCCAAGTTTTCCCCCAAAAAATTCTATTTTCCCTTTGAACTGTTAAGGGATTAAATACTTAAAAGTTAAAAAATATAAAGTTTTTCCATTTCAGCAAATAAAACCCACCAATTGTTGCCCAAAATATCCAAAGACATTGCAGAAAACTGCAAGTAGTGTATGAACATGAAAGCTGCCATTTTTTATGGGAACCATAGATACAAAAAGGCAATTTACATCCTATTCCCTTTTCCGGGATTTTTACTTTTTAACACCCAATTTAAAGGGGCTTTTTTTCCCTTTAAAATATTTTTTATTAAAAGAAAAAATTACTTGTTACCCCGATAAAATTTTATAAAAAAAGGGGCCTTTTATGTTTTCATTTTCTTTTTACAAATTGCCCTGAATTTTGATATTTTCGAATGGATTGTCTTCAAACTTGAATACAATAATCTTCAAGGATATCCCTTAAAAATAATCAGAGAGATCTTGACCTTCATTCATAAATAACCTTGACTTTGAAGGTCAAATTACTGAAATTTTCATTTTTAGCTCGACTTTTTTTTTTAAAAAGTAGAGGTATTGTTAAAGTCCTGGCGGCGTTGCCGCTGCTGTCCGCAAACTTGTACCTGGATCATAACTTTTTAATTTCCTGGTGTATTGTCTTAATACTTGGCCACAACAACCCTTGGGACAAGACCTTTAAGTAGACCACACTAACCTTGACCTTCATCCATAAATGACCTTGACCTTCAAGGTCAAAAGTCCAAATTTTGCTTGTTCTTGTTATTATTGGCTGTTACTTTGTTATTTTTGAATGGATTGTCTTCACTCATTAATGACCTTGACTTTGAAGGTCAAATTATTGAAATTTTCATTTATTTTTGGCTAATTTATTGGCTGTAACTTTGTTATTTTTAAATGGATTGTCTTCAAACTTGAACGGCTCGGATGATATAAAATCTTAACAGGTAATATATCCACATATATCACTCCAAAACCAAAATAACAAAAAATGTTTACAATGATATTAAAAGAAAAACAAGCAAAATCGTTGAATTTATATCCCCCTCCAAGTACTAGTTATTACTAACACAACAACTGAAGACATAAGGCTTTATTTATATATTTATTCAAGGCAATAACAGAGCCTTAACTCGGGTGTTCAATAGTAATATCTGGACATGGCAATGAGATGTAAATTGCCTTTTTGTATCTATGGTTCCCATAAAGTTTTGTTGAAATCAATACAGCAGTTGCAATGAAATAGCAATATTGCTCTATATGCATACTTCATAACTAATCAAGGGCCATAACTCTGTAATGAAGGGTCTGGTCTGAACAAGGCAACATATTATGCACATCTCATCTTGGTATTAATGGTTTCCATAAAGTTTAATTAAATTCCAGCCAGTAGTTGCACAGAAGTAGCGTGGAAACAATTATTGCTCTATATACTGCATAACTTATCAAGGGCCATAAGTCTGAGTGTCTGACCGGAACAAGGCAATGATATGCTCATCTCCTCTTGGTATTAAAGGTTCCATAAAGTTTGCCCTATATGCATACTGCATAACCAATCAAAGGCCATAACTTTGAGTTAAAGTGTCTGACCGGAACAAGACGACAATATGCGCATCACCTCTTGGTATTGAAGGTTCCCATAAAGTTTCCTTGAATTCCAGCCAGTAGTTGCAGAGAAGAAGTGTGGAAATGATTTTTGCTCTATATGCATACTGCATAACTAATCATTTGGGCCATAGCTCTGAGTTAAGGGTCTGACCAGAATAAGCCGATGATATGGGCATCTCCTCTTGATATTGATGATACCCATAAAGTTTCATTGAATTCTAGCCAGTAGTTGCAGAGAAGTAGCGCTGAAAAGATTATTGCTCTATATGAATACTGCATAATTAATCAAGGGTCATATCTCTGAGTTTAAGTGTCTGACCAGAACAAGGCACAATATGCACATCTCCTTTTGGCATAAAGTTTCATTGAATTCCAGCCAGTAGTTTCTGAGAAGTGGCACGGAAACGATTATTGCGCTTTATGCATACTGCATTACTAATCAGGGCCATTATTACTCTGAGTTTAAGTGTCTGACTAGAACAAGCCAAGGATATGCACATCTCCTCTTGGCATTAAAGGTTCCCATAAAGTTTCGTTGAATTCCAGCCATTAGTTGCAGAGTAGTAGCACGGAAACAATTTTTGCTCTATATGCATAATATCAAGGGCCATAACTCTGAGTTAAAAGGTCTGACTGGATCAAGTCGATGATATGCGCATCTTCTCTTGATATTGATGATTCCCATAAAGTTTCATTGAATTCCAGCTAGTAGTTGCAGAGAACTAGCGCGGAAACAAAATTCGGACGGACAGATGGACGGACGGACGTTCTCACAGGACAGTAATTATGTGGCTACTCTATTGTTCTTTTTAGCCACACAAAAGAAAATAGCCACATAAAAGCATTACGGAATGAATGACATCAAAGAGAAAGAACAGTGACCTATTGCCCCTCTAGCCACATAATTACTGTTCTGTGAGTGCAGACAGACGGATGGACAACGCCAAAACAATATTCCCCTCCCGATTCCATCGGCAGGGGATAACAAAGAATCCTCAATATTTAAGTATTTTATTACATTTAATCACGGTCCGCCTCGTCTGGAGTCACAGTCCGCCCTGTCCCAAAATATGGCTCGCCCTGTCCCAAAATATGGCTCGCCCCGTCCAAACATACGCACCCTGTTTCACGGTCCACCCTGTCCGTAATTCGCATTTACAGGACTTACAAAGGTATACTCAACATCACTAATTCCGCATAATCACTTATTTCACGGTAATGGCATATGTGACCAGTGTTAAAATTGGTCAGAATTGACATATTTTATAAAAACACCTAAACAACAAAGTTTTTGTGCAAAATAGTTTAAATCTATAGATTTTTACATAAAACAGAACAACATTTTACAAACTTCTGCAAAAAGCAACAATAGTCCGTTAAATTTGTGCATATCAGTATGTCTGAAACAATCATCATTTTCTAAAAGTTCTTGTTTGTTGAATAAATAGGGAGCGGTGGCCTAGTGGTTAAGGTGTCTGCCTCTCAACCCAGAGATCATGGGTTCGAGCCCTACTCGGGTCACGACCATGTTTCTCCACATGACACCAGTACTGGTTGGTTCCAGGAAGCGGACTCGAAAGTGATTAATATAAGTTGCAAGAACTTGTTTTGCAATCGAGCTTAAATAAATATGTTTAAACCAAATAAATTTTGAGTTATAATGTCAAGATACTTTTAATATTTAAAATTATGCAAAATAATATGTGGAAATTTTAAACTGAAACATGAAAAAACTGAAATAAAACACCATTACCGTGATTTAAATGATGGCTGACATATGGTCTACGTCTGGCTCATTTAAACTTATTTTGACTAAATATATTGTCGTTTCCTTGTGTCATACAGCAGAAAATACCTATATGTTACAGCTTATGACAATATTTGTACCATAAGTTTCATGTGTTGTTTTCTTTCTTGCTTCAAAGCGTTAACTAAGAGGAGCACAGTATAATAGCAATTTGTATGAAATTACATGTACTGGTCGGGACCATCAACCGGACACTTTTTTAACATTTTTCCATACAGATTTCATAATTGCAAACTTAGAGACCTAAAAATTTGACAAGTACAGCTAGGTTTTTCTCCTAAATAACAAATTAGTTTGTTATTTTTTTATTTTATTGACACTTATATCTGAGGTTTGTCAAGGAGGGAATCAAAATTACCTAAAGTGTCACACTACAGTACCATGTGTCCGGACAGATCATATGTACATGACGTGATTGAATACAGATAAAAGATCAAGTGTTTTAAATTTTGATTTTCAACATGATATACAATATTTCAGCAACAAATGATATTCTATTGGTTAGTCTGCAAATGATTATAGCTGGTATATGAGGTCAGGCATTGCTTTCTTGATGCCCAAATTTCAACGTCAACGTTCTTGAAATAGAGTCAGACATTAAAATATTACCATTTACGAAGGTTGAAATAAATTTATTTACGTAATTATAGATGAAACATGCATATATTGTTGATAAAAAAGTGACTGACAACTAATAAACAAAGAAAATACTAAATTAAGCAGTTTAGGGTCCGTCCGAGTTTGGTGGTTGTCCGGTTTTGGTGGTCCCCAACAAGTATGCTAAGTAATAAGATATTTAATTTCTTGCATAGCAGACTGGCGTTTCCGTGAGTTTTACCCATGTCCAAAATTTCATCTGGCATGGGGGTTGCCAGATGAGTCGCGTGCCAAACAACGTCATTTTAGCGCACTTTATGAATGAACCGCGTTAAAATGACGTTGTTTTAGAATGGAAATATGTGCTTAGGATGACATCATTTCGCGGTTGTTATTTAATTTGTTATTGTAAGTTCATACGCTATTGTAAGAAAATAGCTTAGGATGAAATGACTTTAATTTCCATGAACATATATCATATTGAGGTAGACCATTTTAAATATGAAATAATACGGTAGAATATATGCAAGAAAAAATATCTGACATGTTTGCGGTTCGGATCGGAATATCTGTCCCTCGGCAAGCCTCGTTACCGCACAATGGGCAGGTCCCCTCGGGACGTATATTCCGTCCGAACCGCAACATATGACAGATATTATTAGTAAATATTCCTTACTATGCACCGTTTTAATTTAACAGCAGCAGACATGACTGTCAGAATCTAAGCTTTAATTAATGCACACAAGTTGAGGACATCATAGAAACTTCTACTAAATAAATAACAGCTCATGAATGAAAGGTTTGAGAATAGGTTGGGTGTGAGATAAAATAGCAGTTTAGGTACTTAGGCCTATACGATACATTTTCCCGGCAAATTGCCCAAATCGAATAGATCTACATCACTTTTAAATCGATAAAGCGTTTTTAATTAGGTAAAATAGCTCTACACGTGGATTATTAGTATCACATACCCTTTACTAGTTGATGCCATATTCAAACGTAAATCAATATTGGGCCAAACGCATTTTTATCATGGTAGTTTTAAAGTCCATACATCAGACAATCTGATAATTTACAAGCATATTATTGTAATTTTCAAACAATTGTCTAAAATATTTGATAATAGAAAACAAAGAAAATAAATGCATTTTCAATTTGCAGCAAAAATTAATTAACTTGGTTTTCTTATACCTAAGTCACCCCTACAAAAATTGTTTGAGTCCATAGAAACATCCGGCGGTGCACTCATAAACATTGGCTCTTGCAATTCGTCGGCTATTTTTTATAAGGTCAGACTATTGTATTGATTTTTCCATCGTAAATGGTCCCTAATCCTACTTTAAAACTGAGTTTTGTGTTAAAGAGGTGATTTTTTTCTCTAGGAGAATGAATGCCTGACACATAAAAATGATACATATATTTCAGAAATAATATATCCCAAACAGTGAAATCGGTGATTTTATCGCTCAATAACATCACTGTTTGGAGTTCGGATGCGAGGAAGTATATCACGAGGGCGTAGCCCGAGTGATATAATGATGCGCATCCGAACGACAAACAGTGATGTTATCAAGCGATAAAATCACCGATTTGGATATATTATTTCGATTCTAACACGACAGTAACAATAAATCTCGTCATACCTTATAATAAGCTAAATTGCAGGTAGAAACCGGCGACTATATTTGTAACAGTTTAATATTATACCTATGGTAGGAGAAGCCCTTAAAATCTGAAAATAAAAGCATATCAATCATTGAACAATTAAAGACAACAATTATTTTTCAGTTATCTCAAAAATTCAAACATATGATAACTTTGCTCATTGAAATGAAATATGCACATATTGACATCTTAAAAAGCAACTGAGGATCAGTCATGAATATAAGGGATACTTTTACTTTTTTCTATGTGTCAAGTATTGCTATTGACCTTTTCGAAAACCTAGCTAAACACCGTTTTCCGGTACGTTACCGTTTTAGCTCTGGGGAATTACATCAAATGAAGTACATAACACAGTTACGTGATATTTCGATTTTTCTATCAGTATTTAACCGTTTAAGTTGAAAAAATTGATGTTTTTGAAAATTATCAATATTCCTTTAATATCTATTCCAAATTATTCAAAAAAATAAATTGTTTATAATGAAAATCAATAAAATTCAAACAGACGTAGTGGAATCTTCCATAATAAATAAGGTTATTTTCTGCGTTAACTTGTGTTTTTACTTTATTTTTTGTATGGAACTATTCATACAATGATATCTAATTATTTTCTTATAAAGAAATAATTACTTTATTTCAATTTGATTTTAAAAAATGCCGAAAACATCGAGTTCGCTATTACACTCCATTGGGTGAATTCCCCAGAGCTATGTACAGAAAGTACCGGAAAACGGCGTTTAGCTAGGTTTTCGAATTCGTGAATTTTATAATATATAAATCATGAATGATATTTGAAATGACACTTTAAAATTATTTGGTTGTTTATATTTTATGAGACCTATTATAATATGAAATTAGGTGCTACCTATGGCGCGGAAAGCTCTTATGATTTAAGCATAAAATGTTTAGTGTACATGTTAACCAGATCTATCATGCAATTCGTTAATAAGTAAATGCAGGTATTTTGTACCGTAAACAGAAACGAATAAATTGGTGGTGTTCAACCTATCATCGGAAAGAGGGACCACTGCGCATGCGTCGGCGTTTGGAAAATCCCGTCCGCCATTTTCTGTTAATCTCTAATCACATATGTTGTTTTTACGTTATTTTTAATGTGCTTATTTATCAAAACGGATTTAAAAGTAACTTTTTACATTTATCATCGTTACTATAGTTCTTATGAATGAAATGAATGTTTATTTTCTGATTTTGAACATCATTCTTTCACCGGAAGTGTTATTAAGCATGCGTCTGCTAGCAATAGTCTGAATTATGTAGACGTTCATTAAAAGCGCTGTGATATCTATATTTAGCTCAAAAGATTTCAAAATGGCGGCGCCCAGTTAACTATTGGAAAAGTTGTTCCGGTTAGGTGGTTTCCTGCTTACATTTGTTAGTGCATGATTGAACGAGAAACCAGCTGCAATCGTGCCAATCGCAACTTTTTGGCCCTTTCCGTCACTCTTCGGTTTAATGATTATAGCCGATGTAGTTCCGATTGCAATCGTGACAATTCGGGCGATTCCGTCATACTGCGCAATCAGACGAAGTAATAATATGAAATTAGGTGCTACCTATGGCGCGGAAAGCTCTTATGAATTATGATTTCAGCATAACATGTTTAGTGTACATGTAAACAAAACGGATAAATTGGTGGTGTTCAACCTATCATCGGGGCGCCCGAAAACTTCCGAACGTAAAGGGGGGCCACTGCGCATGCGTCGGCGTTTGGAAAATTCCGGCCGCCATTTTTGTTAATCTCTAATCACACGTTATTTTTTAATGTGCTTATTTATCAAAATGGATACGTTAAAGTAATTTTTTATATTTATAATCGTTACTATAGTTCCATTAATGAAATGCATGTTTATTTTCTGATTTTGTACATCATTCTTTCACCGGAAGTGTTATTTAGCATGCGTCTGCTAGCAGTAGTCTGAATTATGAAGACGCTCATTAAAAGCGCTCTGATATCTATATTTAGCTCAAAAGGATTCCAAAATGGCGGCGCCCAGTTAACTAAGGATTTTTTGGCTTGCAGCCACCATTTCATATGGAAAACTTGTTCCGGTTAGGTGGTTTCCTGCTTACATCTGTTGGTGCATGATTGAACGGGAAACCAGTTCCAATCGTGCCAATCGCAACTTTTCGGCCTTTTCCGTCACTCTTCGGATTAATGATAATAGCCGATGTAGTTCCGATTGCAATCGTGACAATTCGGGCGATTCCGTCATACTGCGGAATCAGACGAAGTAATATTACGGAAATCTAAGCTATTTTAGTTACTTCGGTAATCCCAGTTTGTTTATATAAATAGGATTTCTATTTTTACTTGATTTATCGGTTTAAACCGTAATGGTGAGGTAATCTTAAAATAGCCCATGCATATCATTAACCTTCCCACTCCTCGCAGCGGTTACTTCCCCTGATCTGTACAGTTAAAGTAGCAAAGCGTGACGTAACAGCTGTGAGGAGTTTGGTGCTGATATCGTCTATTTGTGATCGTGTAACATGCTTATTAATTGGTACCACGTAACGAAGTATTTTAGTGCATTTACTTGTCTATAAAGCAAAGGAATGATTTCGCTGCGAAAAAGGGGAAATGAAATGTGCACACTTGTTTTCCTTCAGTATCACGTTAGTATTTTTACGATTGATCATTTTCTTTATTAGTTTTATACGATAGAGAATAGATTTCAAATCGTTTTGACAAAAAATATTCGGTTTTCCAAAAAAAAAAAAATCCAACTAAATAAACCCTTTATGATATACAAATACCGTAATTCAAAAAAAAATGTGATAATAAATTGAGACCAAAAAAACACACAATTTTAAAGGGTTGGGATGAAGGCACAACTGTGCAAGCCTTTCCTTTTAAAAGGAAACTTTATTCACAGCTCATTAGGTATAGGATATTTTTTTTGAAATTTTCATTTACTTTTAATTTGATTTTATTTGAATTGATACATGTCATACATGTTATCTAAGAGCGCTACAGCCCTCGCGGGGTCTTCGGCCCCGCTCGGACTTTCTGCGTATTACGGAAATCTAAGCTATTTTAGTTACTTCGGTAATCCCAGTTTGTTTATATAAATAGGATTTCTATTTTTACTTGATTTATCGGTTTAAACCGTAATAAATTATAAACGAAATTGTTCCGTTTCAATTCTTTTTCAAGACGCAAAAGTTAGTTTCTTTTATAATTGTTTTTGTCTGTATTAGTTTTATACAATCAGGTTCTGTATATTAACATATATACCCGATACAATAGAGGATGGTTACGTCTCCAAAGGGTGGTCTTGCTTACCAAATCACACAGAATATTAGTGCATGATCGAGTTATATTTAGATCTAATGAACGCAGTGAGGTAATCTAAAAATAGCACATGCATATCATTAACCTTACCACGTTAGCGCATCGTATCTGGGTCGTGTAACATAGTTGATACATGCTTATTAATTGGTACCACGTAACGAAGTATTTTAGTGCATTTACTTGTCCATAAAGATGCTATATAAATGAAATTAGCAACTGCCAAAACGAATGATTTCTCTGGAAATGAAATGTGCACACTTCTTTCCTTTTCAGTAATATGAAATTAGGCAAAGCCTATGAACGGGGAAGTCGGTAAAAAAATCCTTTCATTTTTCCGTTTTAAAGGTGTCATTCGGTATTATATGTACCCACTTCCGTTTTCACTCGGAACACTCGACGATTATTATTATTCCGAAAAGTTGAGATGTGTCCTGTAATCGGAATACACCGCCTTTTATCATTGAGTTACATTGTAAATGGCGGCGCCTAACTAGAACTGACACTGAAAATTTCATTGATAGGTATAGAATTCTATATATATATATTTTTTTTTTTAATTTGAATTTTCTTTTAAATATACACGTGTAGTCTATAGCCGGGCAAGCCAAAGCCCGGGCCCGCTTTGCGGGCCCGGACTTTGACTTCCCCGTATGATAGAATAGTTAGTATTTTTATGATTGATTATTTTCTTTATAATTAAGTTTTCTACAATAGAGAATAGATTCCAAATCGTTTTGACAAAAAATATTCGTTTTTACAAAAAAAAACAACTAAATAAACACTTTATGATATTCAAATACCGTAATTCAAAAAAAAAAATTGTGATAATAAATTGACAATCCGCGTATTACATTATTTTATCTAATTATAAACAAATTCTCCCTGGTTTTTTCGTAAGAATCACGTGACTACATGTTTATATATGTTGTATATCGTTATAAAATCTATAGTAAGGGGCCTCCGTGGCCGAGTGGTTAAGGTCGTTGACTTGAGATCACAGCTAGGTCCCTCACCACTGTAGGTTCGATCCTCACTCGGGTCGAATTCTTTCATGTGAGGAAGCCATCCAGCTGGCTTACGGAAAGTCGGTGGTTCTACCCAGGTGCCCGCTCGTGCCTGAAATAATGCTCGAAGGGGCACTTGGGGTCTT